GCGTCCGTGAGGAGTGAAATATCTATAGTTATGGTAAGTTTTCAGGCTCAAACTGAGCATCTACTGCAAATCTTTCACATTTGGCAGAAAACTACCCCTTCTGTTGGCACGCGGATTGACCGTACTCTGCAACCCAAAGAGTGCGTGTAACGCTCCTATAATAGCTGGGAGACTTGTGGTTTTTTTCTACCATCAAATGTCTTTTGCTGTAATGGGACGAGAAAAAAAAGTGGAGTCTCTTAAACAGATTTGTTTTTGTGGTTTAACTTGTTTGTTGTTTGGATGATGGATTCCCTCCCATCTCTGGAACACTTCCCAGAACACTGTGCATGTTCACACGATCACATACGACACACACACACACACACACACACACACACACACACACACTCAGATACATTTACACTTGCCCTTCCAGCACCACTTAAAAACAATTATATAATTTCATTGCCCCTCGATAATAACAAGCCTCCTCTTGATTTACTGTGTCAGAGGGAATCGGCGTGGTTGTGGGAATAGCAGTTGGCCCCCGGCTCGTCTCTCGCTCCCTCTGCTGATGCCGAGAATGTGACATGGAATCCCAGGTCCCGAGGCCGGCGATGCACAATGAGTCATAGAAATCTGATGATGCTCTTTTTCACCGATGACAATTGCACTCAATCAATTTCTAAAAGCTTGAATGCAGCATCAGGACCCCGCCCCCCCCCCCACCAACCCCTCCCCCTCCTGCAAAATGCAGTAGCCTTACTTTCTGAGCCATCGAGGTGATACTCCTGATGTATACTGTACTCGTACTACGCGGTGCTCTACTCTAAGAGTTATACAGTCCTCACAAGTTAAGAGATCTTTTTTTTTTTCAGAACTGCCTAGGAAAGAATGCATTTTATGGGGCACAAAGAAGGTTCAGACGTCACACGCTTGAATGCGTCCAAAACCCTGTGGGTGTAATAATTCAGTTCTTGAATTGACAGGAAGATCTGATAATGATGGGTTACGGCGAGGTGACACTGTGAACCTACGTTATATTAAAGGTATCGACACAGTGGTGTTGAAAACGTCATCAAAGAGCAGATCCAGCAATATAATTGCAGTTGGCATTTACTAAAGAGATCACCACCCTCAGGAAAACCGGTTGTTGCATAACGTGGTACAGAGACACAAGCAGACACTTGGCTTTCGGAAGGCGTGATTCCATTGTGTTCCATCTTGTGTTTGTAAAAAGTTTGCAAAAGTCTTGTGAACATAAATTGCTACAAGAACGGATAACTTATAATGTAGCAACAAAATCTCTCACGACTAAAAAACATCCGTCATCACTGGGCTACATTGCCAAATACTAGCTGCAGACAAACCACGCTTGTTTACGTGAACGTTCCTGTGTCTTTAAGTGCGCTGACGTCCCCCGTTTAACCCCACCTGTGACTCCACCTCCGATGTTGTCCCTCGCCTGCAGGCTCAGTCACCGGCTGACTAACCCGCAACGTCAAGCAACAGAACGCCGACCCCTTCTTGTCATTAGCAAAGTGGGCATCAATCTTTCACGTTACAGGAGACACCATTCTCTGGCTCCTGAATGGATCTGTCTCCAGTGTTAACAGCCAATTGGCCCCGGCGCCATGGTGGCATTCTAGGTAGTCATTTAGGTGCATTACAGGAGGAGCATCTGAGAACTCGGGAGGAGAGGAGCGAGGGTGGGAGGGGTGCAGTTGGCGACAGCGCTAAGATCGATTATATGGTTGTGACAACAATACACGAGGTGTCAGTTAGTTATTCACAACAGGGGCCGCTGGTTTGACGAGTCACTTCGACCGTTAAAGAGAATTGAACTTAATTGAGTGTACATTAGAAGTGTACACTAGAGTACCATGGAACCGTTCATGGTTCCATGGAGGGTTATTTCGCTCTTATCTCTGGCCCTCCGCCCGTCTGCAAAAGAATGTCAAACTAAAGCTCCCATGTTTCCATGTCGTCACATCAACAGTTATCTTATTATGTAAAGGGAAATATCAAAATATACACTGTATATCCAGTGCAAGCTAAAAACATCCAGATATTATTTATTAGCAATATTAGTTAGTTAATGTATCAAAATTAAATGAGTTGGCGACATTTCTGTTCTACGTATGCGAAGAAAGTGTAACAGTGTTTTACATTTCAAAACAAGTTTCCTCAACTTTGTATCTAGTAAGTATACCAGTGTGATGGTACCATGCCATGAATAAGAGTTTTAATGTGAATGTAAATAGTGTGTGAGTGCAGCACAGCCCGCTGATTATGCCAACAAAACATTCCACCACTTCAAAGCTTCTGCTGTAATTACAATGCTGTGAGGTGTGGCCGACCCACACAACCAGAGGCTTCCCTGTCACAGACACACACACACGTACGTTATGCACTGACATCCCCCCCCCACACACACACACACACACACGCGCACGCACACACGCACACACACAAACATGCTCAGACAAATTGCTTTAGCTATTATCAGGCTTAAATGATATTATGGAAAAAAGGAAGTGGGATGTGTGGGTAATTTTGCTACACCCAAGAGAGCACCCCTCTCATTTTTAACCACACCTCCTCATTTATTCCTTCCTTCCTTCCTTCCTCCCTTTCTTGTATAATACTGTTTGTACTATACATACTGTCACATAAAGCTGCCTTTGCATTATTTCTATGTCTAGCATATATTTAACGTGCATGAACTCTAAACATAGTGTTTTATTAAGCTCACACTCCCTCATTGAAAGTCAATCTAGGTCAGTATCACCTCAGATTTAATCTCATTCCAGTTTTCATAGATGTGTTGTTGGTACAGACTGTAGCTAAAATGATGAAAGAACTGCTGTCGGATTCTGCGATTATTATCTCCTCCAATTAATAGTTTTCTCATGCGACACGGCTGAGAGATGCAGTTGCAAACAAGCCAAGAACAATATTTGCCATTCCTTCCTTATCGGACCTATCCTCTTTTGTCAACACCTTAAAAAAATTGAATCGTACAGGTGGACCTGTTGCTGGATTTTAAAATAAACTGAAACACAATATGCAAATAAAGAAAGGTAAACATGACAATAACAAAGGGATTTAAGGAAGAAAGGAAAAGAAAACATAAGAGGACAGGAATGGAGAATACATGAGGGAAGAGATATAAAGTAGAAAGGAAAAGTAATTTGTACGTCAAGAAAGAAGGAATTAATGAAATAAAAATGTACAACAAATGAAGATACATTACATACAATTCTTAACACAGCAGGCATAAAAGAGGACAAGAAAGAAGAAGGGAGGGAGGAGAGAAGGAAATATGCCACTCAGCCAAGAACGAGTTCTGTGGAAAATGATTGACAATGTGCCTGGAGGGTGTGCAGGCCAGAGGGGGAGGGGGGGGCTGGATAAAGGTGGGGATCCTGAACAGAGCTGCAAAAAAAAAAAAAGAAAAAAAAATGCAACAGTTTCTCCCCTGAGGAGTCAGTCCTTTCATCTGGCCGCCCACTGGCGCCTTCACAACCCTCTGATTGTCTGTGAAATAACCCCACTTTAATAAGGCAGCGGCAGCAGCCTCCTGGGAACTGAGCTCCGCTCCACAGTAGACGAGCCACTCGGGCCTGCTGGCTACATGTAAAAGCGTTTACTGTATATAAATCGATCACGGGGATGTTGGGAAATGGCTGCAGTGTTGTAAAAAAATGGGTGCTTTGTGAGAACCAGTGAGTTTGAACAGAAACGTATAAAAAGTAACCTGTTCTTGTCAGAGGCTGTAGGCTGTGCAGGAAGTACACACACACACACACACACACACACACACACGTTGCTTCTACCACTTAGACACTGCGGATTAGGCCCTTGTGATGTGAAAAAGCTATTAATCATCATTCAGCAGCCGAACGGTTCCAATTTTCAATGGAATGGGTGTTAATGGTCAATTAGGTAACAGATAAGAAAGTACTTAAACAGGCCTGACCATGGGAAAAAAAAGTCCTGAGACAAGTGAAACATCCTTTCAGTATTTTAGCCATCATCAAAGGACTGTTTTCTTCAGATGAACGGCTGGAACTACGGTTAAGTTCTCCATGAGGAATCAGGCACTTTCATCGGACAAACATCACAATGACTTACTTCATGAGGATCACAATGAGCGACTTCATGTCTAATGCGCGTGAGGAGTAGGATTGAATCAAAGGAAAAGGAGATGAATGTATCCGATGCAAAGGGACGTCTCGTTTGGATTAAGTCTAAATTTTGCTCCTCTACGGACTTTAAAAAACGGCATCTGCAATTTAGCAAACTAATTGACTCAGTCATTTGAGTGCGGCACCCTTAGCACACAGCGGCCTTGTGAGTTACAATGGAAAGTCCCAATAAAGAGAAGGGCAAACAGATCAGGGGAGGCGGACGAAAGAAGAAGAGGGATCAGTATTTCATCCCGGGTATAATTCTCCATAATTATCCGCATGGGGCCCGTGTTTACACATGCACTCTCATGAGGTCCGAGTTAAAGCTTATTCGTTACTGGAGCTTAACTTGTGATAAGGCTGCGGCACAGATATTGTTTTTGGCAGCTAATATCCGGTAATTCACTTATTTACACTAAAATGCCAACATGAGGGACAACTTTGGCCTTAACTTTTCAAAGAATGGTCTCATGTGAAATATTCGCGTGTAAAGACTCCCAGTAGCCATTAAATGTTCCAGGCAAAGCTGGTATTTAACATAGTAAACATTCATATTTTGACTCGCACGAGGGGTGGAGGTGCTGATCTCAAGCACTCCACCCAACCTGCATGTGAAGCGGTTCGAGCACCTATTAATAATACTAATAACAATAATAATTACCCCACACTTAAACTGTCGCACGTTATTACGCAGAACCAAACAGTGATTCACCCGTTTCCGACGGTCCCTGAATCCACCGCCCGCTCGCTCGTAAACAATTTGCGGCGCGCTGATTGGTCAAAGCCGAGCCCCGTTACGTGGTGACGCGGCGTACATACTCGCCACGCACTGCTTGACAGCTCCATAACAAAGCGCTCCCCGGAGCGCCTCTGACCCGGTCTCGCCTCGGCCGAACCGCTCGGAAGTTTCCGCACCCCGCTGTTTTCGGACAGAGATGGCTTCTCGGGAGACCTCTAACGACGCGGGCTGCAGCTCGTCCGAGGAGGACGGCAACCGCGCGGACTCCACGGAGTGCGCGCCGTCTCCGGCGGCGGCGCGGCGGCACCATCCGTTCAGCGTGGAGGCGCTCATGTCGGGCAGGAAGACGGGCGGGGGAGGAGAGCGCGTCCGCCACGAGCTGGAGGGAGACCCGGTGGCGGTGTCCCCGAGGGTGCTGAGCTCCCTGTATCTGTATCGGGAGACGTGCAGTCCCCCCGGGGGGAGTCAGAAGAGGTTAGCGGCCGTGCCTTCGTCCCCGGTCAAGTCCGAGGCGTCCGAGCCCGAGGACTGCGCGCCGTGGCTCCACGGCAGCGCGTTCTCCACTCAGCCTCGTAAGTGATTCCCGATTTATTTGAGTTGTATTACATATATTATTAAAAATAATGTCCACCTAGAAAATCAGTAACCTTTGTAGGTTTGCACATTTTGAGGGCAAACTTAATTTTTAATTCTCACGCAGATATTTCAGGGGTTAATGTTTGTAGGAGTAGACTACTTCTGACACGCGTGTCGTCTGGTAACAATAAATCAGGCCTTTCAATTGAGAAAAAATGTGCATCCTGATATCCATCTTTCAACCGTGCTGACTGATCAATAAATAGCCTATTTGTTGACTCAGCACCCAGAGGTAGTAAATGGAATTCTACAAAAGTCAGTTGAATTGGTTTTATTCTAAAAATCAGTTGTTTCCTCCCTCAGTCCGCGTCGGCCCGGGATGCCCGCTGAGGAAACACAAGACCAACAGGAAGCCCCGCACTCCCTTCACCACGTCTCAGCTCCTGGCGCTGGAGCGGAAGTTCCGGCAGAAGCAGTACCTGTCCATCGCCGAGCGGGCCGAGTTCTCCTCGTCCTTGACCCTGACAGAGACTCAAGTGAAGATCTGGTTCCAGAATCGCCGGGCGAAAGCCAAGAGGCTCCAGGAGGCCGAGCTGGAGAAACTCAAGATGGCCGCCGACGCCAAGACGGCGGCTGTGGCGGCCGCCGCGGCTGGAGGTTTACACCCGGGCTTTACGTTACCGCTGTCGCTGGGCCCCATGTCCCTGTACGGACAGTCGTACTCCGCCTACCACCACCACCACCACCACCACCACAGACCCATGCTGCCCATTTCACCTCTGGGACTGTACGCTGCTCCTCTGGGCTACAGCATGTACCACTTGTCATGAATGGAAATCAGAGAAAATGGAAATATCACTGACTGAACCTGGCCTCCGAAGAGTGCGGCTGACATTTGAAAAAAAATCGATGTTTTTAATATACCTTCGGCACAAGGCGTGTTTGAAATTGACTTTACGAGCACTTAAAGTCAAAAAGGAAATCTTTTTCTTTTTCTTACAGCAAGCATAGAAGAGAAACCTACTGTAGATCTCCTCGCGCCCCTTCGGACGGCGCGTCTGAGCGAGAAGGGGCGTCACGGTCCAGCTGTTTACGCTCTCCCCTTGTTTACTTTTGCAATAATTGAGCTCGGCGAGGACTTGCACCGGGCGCAATAATACAAAGTACAACTTTTCACTCGAGCCTCTCTCCTCATTCAATGCAGTGCCTTGTGTGTTGGAAAGGCCTTAATATTAAGCCACTTTGTGTGTGCGTGTGCGTGCGTGTGTGTGTGTGTGTGTGTGGAGGATGAGTGCTTCAGCAGATCAGACCAAATAAACTACTTCACTGAAGCGTTCGTATAACTGCTACAGAAGTGTCTGCCTTGGAAATACTGCGCTCCTCTTCAATTCTTAAAGACAGACCAATTCAGGTTGGTGGGCTCTCAAAGACGGGGAGGTTCAACCCTCACATTTTATCTTCACATTTTATCTCCAGAAACAATAAATAACAATCTTTTTCAACTATAATTATGCGGCAAATGTATGCCTCATATTGTCTATTTATGTGAGAATATGGTACAAAAGTTCTGACCAAAAGTGTATTTATATTGGTGTTCCTGAATGTCCCTTTGAAAGGGCCGTACGTTGTTCTATGCAGTTTATATATTATATATTTTCCATTAATGTTTTATCGAAATGAACAAAACAATTAAAGCTTTACAGACTCTTTTCTCTAAAATGAATGACTGTTTTTTATTTATGTGTAATAAAAATAAGGTAGCATATGTGTAAATACGTGCAGTTACATTGAAATGTTTAGGTGTGGTAGGAAACCAGCAGAATCAGCTAATACAACTGTGTGTGTGTGTGTGTGTGTGTGTGCGTGGTTTAATTCCAAATCCGTTTCCCCCCCACAAACTCAGCGGTGAGTTCAAGGCCACGTGTGACAAACCATAAATACAACCCACATATCATCCGACTTCTCAGATCTCCTTATTAGTCAACTGTCATTTTCCACACTGGTCAAAGTTCTTTTGGCAGAGGGAAACTTTTGTGAGGACGTTCTGTTTTTAGACAAATACAGTGTGACGTGTTTCTGGCAATCATTAACCTTCCCTCACCGAGTCCTCGTACCTCCTGTCAATTCCGTCTATTTCTGAATCCCAGACGCAAATCATAGCAACCGAAACTTTTAATTGAACTACAAATAACGCTCCTTTCTTGAGATCTGCTCAAACGTATCCTGTTGGCAGCCATTTATGGATTTGTTGATGTTCTTCCCGTACCTCGTTAAATGGGATGTCCATAACCACAACTGACCGAGCAGGTTGAGTCCAGAGGTGTGTGTGTGTGTGTTTGGTTGCTAAAAGGTGCTTTTTGCTATGTTGCAATTTAGGTTCCAACTTCCTAGCAGGAAATCATTGATGGGCAGCAGCACATTCGTGAGGTTTTCCTTTGATCAGAACACGGCGGCCTAACGGGAATAGTTTACGCGGGCAACAATCAGCCTAATGAAGTGCAGATTGGTCTCCGGGCTCTCTTGTGAAACATCAAGTTGGGGGCCTTCGTTGGAGCGGTGTAGTATTTCGGCGGCGGTGAATCGGGTGAATGATCTGCAGGGAACTGTTTTTGTCATTGCCAATGATTGGGCATGTTTGTGGTTTCCCTTTTTACAAAACACCACAAGTGGCCGGGGCCCCCCCCCCCCCCCCCCCCTCTCTTTCTGTGTCATGTCATGCGCTCGTCTCCTACCTCCTCTGCTGGCCGTTTGTGAGACGGCACCACGGGACAAAACTCCTCTCTGTCCACATGTTGTGACGTGAGGTGACGTGAGGGTGAAGTGTGTTTAGTTTCCCGTCTTATAACAGACACTTGGAGACAGACATTGAGGGACAACGTTTCTTTATCCACCAATACTGGCCCTTTGAGGTAAAAACACAAAGGATTTATACTGTTAATAAACCTTTATATATTTCCATCTAGTTCAGCCTGTTTTCACCTGGTTGGTGGTTGCGCTCACGTGTGACGTGTCCACTCCTACTGCCTCGCCAAAGACATGCAATCATTACACTGCATGATTACAATTATTTTTATAGTTCTCGGTATATTTATGCTTAATATGTATATACCCACAATGGATTAGTATTTATTATTTAGTATTACTGCTGACAGCTTACCTGTCATCTCCTTTTTTTCTTATTTATTCAAACACACCACCATAAGCCCAAAGATTATGCCGGAGCAAGTCTGCTTTTTGGCAAAAATTGCAAATATTAAAAATATATTGTTACATGCGCTTGGCTGAACAGTTTGTATTCCACGGTTTCTGTTGATTACTTTTCCTCAACACATGATACCCACAATGATACAGCAGTAATCAATTTAAAGGGTATATTTTTGTGTGTTGCTCTTTCTTTCGTGTCAAATGAACCTACAACATAAAACATTTAGAGAATAATTAAGAGAGACGGAGATGCGACCTAACAATGTTACTCCTTAAACTGTGGACATTGTGGGACCAGAGCTACGGCTTTGGTTCCAGGACTCACTCCACTATGCCACCGTTTGTTGCACTGTGTTTCAATTCAGGTTCTCTACATATGAACACATGAAACCCCTTCACCCTCGTTACAGCTCAGTTACAGACAGAGTTCAGTTCACCAGCAACGGTAAATTTAGAGCAAAATAGAAATCTTTATTTCACAGTATTTTCTCATCCAGCAGTGTTATACAAACACTCTGGGCAACAACTGTTCAGTCTCTGTATATCTTTCTTTATATAATATTATATTGTGTAATCTTGTTTTTTACTTTATTTTTATTACTACTTATTTATAATAATAATCTTTTTTTTTACTATGTCTTCACTGTTTTCACTTCACCCTTTGCTGTTGTCATCCTGGGAATTTCCCCGCCGCGGGACTAATAAAGGATCATTTTATTAGCGTCCCAATTTGTTTCCGGATACTAATGCAGCCTCGGGCCATTTGCCCCCCCCATCCCGCCGCCCCCTCCCTCCCATCAAAAAACACTTTGGGGTTCCCCGCACAGACTAGGACATGATGCAGACTAACTCGGTTGATAGATTGTGTGTGTGTGTGTGCGTGTCATCTTTGGAGATATCCCTTGAGAGCCAGAGCAGCAGATGTGGAGAAGCTGCCCCAAGCAGGCCAGTGGGAGGGGGGAGTAGGGAGGTGGGGGGGGGGGGGGGGGGGGGGGGGGGGGATCTCTCTAAACGCTCACACTCAATGCCCTGTTTCTGTTTCACTGATTTCTCACTAACACAAACGTACACACACCAGCAGAGACACAACAAACACCTCAATAATCATTTTCTCCCTTCGGTTTTCAGTCTTTTGTCACACGTGTAATATTATTTACCCATCTGTCATTTTAGAATCATCCAACTCAATAGCTCGCAGTCTGTGAGAAATAAAGGACTGAAGCACTAGAACAGCAAACACCATGAGTCAAAGACACCTATCCTGACACATGCACCATCCAGACAGTGATTATGGATTCGGTCATGCATGGTGGTGTTCATTTGTTGTGACAATACAGATCTGTCAAACGCGAACAATGTCAATGGGAAAACCCGAAATAAATACATTAAATAGTCATATTCATCACATTCATATTCTTTGTGGCAGACTCTACTGTTTGCTGCAGGACAGAATGCTCTTTGTGGTTCTAAAGCAAATGCTGTTTCATGTATTCAAACAGTTCAGTTTGCTAAAGAAATAAAGATTATATTTGGATTTCACTAATATCCTTACATTAAATGAGCAATGCATGAGCTGCTTGTGTCAAAGTCCAAACAACAGCATCATGAGCACCGCTGAGACTAGAGTCATTTTCATTAAGAGCCGATGAAGTGAAGCTACAAACGAAGTTGAGCCGTATCTTTATTCAGCACCTCAAGGACTCGCCACACGTAACTTATCTCTTGTTAGCAGGTTTCCACTGCTATTTGACGGCATAATTACTTCATGAACGTCATAACTCATTAACATAGCCGGCCACATTTGGCCATTTTGCACCCGTGTTGCGTGTTTGGTGTGAACACAACATGAGAAAAAAGATAGTTTGATTGGAGCCCAAATATAGATAGAGCACACACAGATGATTTTCTAGTTTTACGATCGGTTAAAGGGCATCTTTTGGTTTGTTTATGAGCTGAAGTGTGAATAAATGACTTAATCAACCGTGTTTACACAGAGGACATTGACAGACACCCTAATGAGGCTTATGAGAAAGAAGGCCCTACACTTTAACAGCGTATTAAATGCTTCTCCGTCACAGTCACGCAGAGATTCATCTCTTAGCTATGGTAAAATCAAACCTCAAAGAAGCTTCTGAAAGTACTTAAATGGCCATTTATATCCCTCACACAGTCGCTTTGACGTCACGAATAAGCCGCTGATGCGAATGTGCTGCTCGCCAATCAGAAAACACTGAGACCCCTCATCCAATCCGTCATGCCCTTGCTGAGGATGCGAAGAAACTGATAGTATATTCTACATTTATTTGCTTTTAAAAGAAAGTTCTTTGAATAAAACGCGTGAGGGGATGTGGAAAAGGGGTTTGGGTTAGTCTACTATTGGACCTGAGGGTCCTGTTGTTGCTGAAATGGGGTTGTGTTGTGTCAAATGTCATCGTGCTTTGACCCCCCGGGCCACCGTACTATTCTGAGAGAGGACACGTGAACACTGCTGTTTGTGGAAACACTAGTGGAGATAAAATGCTCAACTAATCAATGCAGTAAAAGAAATATGACCAAAATGTGTTTGTGTGCATTTGGGGGATTTTTTTAGACCGTAAAAAATAATTATTGTTTAAAAAAAGAAGGCTGTCCATTCCTATGCCACAGAGCCGTGCGAAAAAGCAATTTCAATGGTGGCTTGCAAATATGTGGATGATCCAATCAATACACAGTATACGTGCACTGTCTCTACTGAATGCAAATGAGAAGAAGATATGAGCTGGAGAGTTTTTCAACCCTTTCCACCAGAGCTTGTTACAAAAGACGCCACGGTCACACATTCTTGCGGTTGTTTGTTAAATTGAGCTCTCCACATATTTGTTCAAATTCGCCGACCAAGTCAGATGTTTAATATGAAGCGTTTCATCAGCATCATTGACAGTGATTACAGCTCACAATGATTGCATTGTGTCGCACCTCGAATTCTGCGTAGAGAGAGTGGCACACCCACCAAAGTGCACCATATTTATGGAGATGAAACTCCTTTGAAAGACAGAGAGAATGAAGTTCCTCATTTATCCAGTAGGGGTCACCACAGCAACAAAGTTCGGCATTTGTAGCCTCAGCCGGCGTGAATGAAACCTAACCGAGCCACCAGAGACCATCCACAGGCTGCCTACAACTGGCCTGCTCTCCCTAAAATACACCACAAGGACAGTCGATGGAATTTGACTTGTTAATGGTTCCTAAAAATAAAAACATTTCTTTCTTCGTAGCTATTGGAGAGGCTATCTTGAGTTATTTTGGTCAAAAACGAGTTGATATTAAGTGTGTCTTTAAAAATGCAAACCATGCTGGAGAGGGACCAACACAAAGGCATCAACCGTGGAAGAGTTTGAGTAAGTGTATGTCTGTGCATGTGTTTGCCAGAAGGAGTGCGTTTTTGCATTCCCAAGTTTCTTAAAGAGTGTGTGTGTGTGTGTGTGTGTGTGTGTGTGTGTGTGTGTGTGTGTTTGTTATAAAGAGAGAGAGAGAGCAGATGAGTTTGAATGCCTTTTCTTCTGTGACCGAAATCCTCCAGTCAT